GCAATTCTGTGTCTTCCTTCTCCCCTCTGTGAGGAGGCCTGACAGGAGTCCGGCCCCAGCTTCAGCCAAGAAGAGGAGCAGATGTGTCCTGCCAGATGCCCAGGCCACCCGGACTCAGAGGAAGTGGTCCCTGCTGCCTGGTGATTCCTCTGTGCTGGAAAATCACATACCCTGAATTCGAGTCCGTGACCCACTCTGAGCAGACCTATGGGGTCTCCACACCCCTCTCCCTCACCCCCATCACCTACACAAAACCCTCCAGGCACAGTCCTCTCCCAGGGAGGCCTACCCCTTTGGGCACTGCCAAGGAACAGGGGGCAGATGCCACTTTTCATAATGGGCAAGGTTAGAGAGTTGGGCCCAGGCCAAAGCCCTCCCTGGAATGGCTTGCCCCAAACCTGACTGGTCCCTTTGCCTGGCCCACACCAGTCCCATGTAGAAGGAGGGGCGGGGGGGGGGGGGGCAAGCCTGGGACCAACAACCCTAAAGCCTTTTTCTCATCAGCTGCCAACTCAATGGCATCTGTCACAACGCAACATCCGACACCCTGTCACATGCCTGCTCGGCCTCCCCCAGAACCAACTCCTGCACATGCTTGCTTCCTTCCGTCGGCCAGCAGCTTCCTTATCTGTACCTGGAACAGTCTCTCTGGATGCTTCTGCACCACCTCCTGGCCCAGCCTGCTCTCCACAGTTCCTGGCAGCCCCTGCTTTGTCCCTGTCACTTGGTGTGGTTTCCCAGTTGGGACAGCCAGAGACCCTCTGCAAGCTCATACAGCCTGGGCCTGCCAGAGGCTTCCCGCCACTCTATGTGCGGCCGAGCCCAGTGTCAGTACTTTTCTTAGCTCAAGCCTCGTTAGTCAGATGGTTCTCTGCCTGCTTGCCAGGTAAGAACTTGGAACACACTGCTCTGAGATGCCCTATTCTCCAAAAACTTACACTGACCCAACAACCACTCATCCCCACCTGAGCACGGCATCCTTCCTCATTCTCCAGCCTCCGGGCCATCATATACTTTGTGGACGAAAGGGGCCACATGCTGACCTGACAAGCTCAGGAGAGGCCTGCATGGCAGTTTTGTACTCGGAGACCTAAAGTAACCACAAAGGATGGTCTGAAATTCAACTTTAACAAAAAGCAGTTATGGTGGGCAGTTACGTCCTAGGCCAGTATCTTCACTGATAAGGTCAACTGAGCCCATCTGTCTTTTTGCATCTATGATAACATATCCTTGGGATGTCTGGGTAACTTGTGACTTCCCCTTTTATGGAGCCCCTGGGGCAGGTGTCTGGGCCCAGGACAGATGCCGCAGATTCTTTCATTTATCATTTAATTGTTCCTGTACCCACCTAAGTATGTGTCCATCATTTTACTTTTTATCCAATCCCAGGGGTCCCCCCCCCCTTTGCTTTATCCCTCCTCCTTAATCTATCACCAATGAATTTCATGTAACTCACCTATGTCCCTCCTTTGATTGCAATGTATAAATACAAATGTAACCCCGCCATTCTCCGGAGCATTATCTCAATTCATTGAGGTTCTGCTTCCCGGCATATGTCGACAGTTTGGCTCAAATAAACTCACAAAAATTCTTTACGGGTTTCAATGGTTTTTTTACGTTAACAACCTGGACCATTTCCTCCCTGTGCTGGACCCTCAGGGCCCCTGCAGGCCACCACCAAAACCTTGGCTCCCTGTGACTGCAGGCTTACAAGAGCCATCCCCTCCTACAGATACCTGGGGCAGGTCCCCAGGAAGCCAAGACTAAAGCCAGTGTCTGTTTTAAAGCTCTGACTGGCAGGCCAAAGCCAGGAGAAGGACCTAGTGGGAAAGAGGTCTCAGGGTTTGGTCTTGTCATCCCTAATTCATCTGAGATCCCAAAAGCCTGTCTTAATGTAACTTGCAGCCCAGGTAACCTTGAATTTCTAAAAGGTTTAAGTACTTGTGAGGTTTCTGCTAGGGCTGGCCCCACGTCTTTGGCACCCACCTCATTTCCTTAAATGCCGAAAGGGAGGGAGAAAGGAAATCAACACACCCTAGGACTGTTCTGCATTCCTTATTTCAACAGGACAAATTGTTGTAATTCAGGAGAGTTAAGAGCATCGCGTCTAGTGCTCGGGGCTGGGACTGGAGCTGAGGGCTGGGGCTCGGGGCAGGGGACTCCGGGCTGAGGGAGGGTCGCCGCAAAATGACGTCAGGGGCCCGCGTTCCCACGCCGCGCCTGCGCAGGACCGAGCGCTGGGCCCGAGGGGCGGGAGAAGACGGCTCCACTGCGCTGGCGCGGCCCCGCCCCCTCACCGGGAGGCCAATGGACTCGAAGGACACGCCCCTGACGACGCGGGCCCCGCCCCCTGGAGACGCGCCGCGGCGGAGCCAAATCCTCCGGGATAGCGGGCAGGTCCAGGGCCGGGCTGGTGGTTGGGGTCCCGGCGACCCATCGCCATGAAGCTAACGCGCCAGATGGTTCTGTCCCGGGCCAAGGCCTCGGAGCTGCATAGCGTGAAAAAGCTCAACTGCTGGTGAGGCCCGGAAGCCGGGGGCCTCCCCGCTGCCCAACCCCTGCCCTGGAGTGGGGACCCCTGTCTGCCACCCCCTCCCTGGGATTGGGGCCTCCCGTTCGGCACCTCCGCCCTAGAATGGGGCACTCCGCCTGGCACCTCCGCCCTGGGTTGGGGCTTCCCCGCTTGGCACCTGCGCCGTGAGATGGGGCTCCCAGCCGACAGCTCCGCTGTGGGGCGGGGCCCAGAAGGGCCTCTTGAGGAGCCGGTTGGAGGAGGAGGGCGCCTCCAGCCTTCAGCCTCCTGTCCCAGACTGGCCTTCCGACTCCCAAGAGCCCACAGCCTCTGGGAGGTGCTGGTACAAGCTCAGGTGGCATTGGCTAAGGTCATTCCAGAATTCTCACACCCACACACCCCACCCTTCCCCGCGGCGGTGTTTCAGACCCAGGCTCCAAACCTGCTATCCTTGCCGGAAACAATTGGGATTACCTGGAGGACTGTTATGGGGCTTCTCCATAGGCAGTGGTTCTCAACCTTCCTAATGCCGCGACCCTTTAATACGGTTCCTCATGTTGTGGTGACCCCCAACCATAAAATTATTTTCGTTGCTACTTCATAACTGTAATTTTGCTACTGTTATGAATCGTAATGTAAATATCTGATATGCTATATATGTGTTTTCCGATGGTCGCGACCCACAGGTTGAGAACCGCTGCTAGAGGGACAACTGGTTCCTCTGTGGACGGTCTGGTTTCTGACATTGCCAGTCATTGGGAACCAAGTCTACTAACAAGGTGGGAGATTAAGGTGATTGAAGCCATTTCTAGGAGAAAGTAAGAGAATTGAGACTCTTCAGCAATGATATAGCAGTCCTTTCTGTAACTGAGTCCTCAGGGAGAGGAGCTGTCCCCAGGTGACTCGCTGTCTGGGAGGTGATGATACAGGTGATGTGGGGTCAGTGCAGGCTCCAAGGGAGGGTGGTCTGACTGGGCCAAGGCAGGACCAGAAGCGCTTCATGAACTCCTGAAGGAGGTACAGGTGTTCACCGGGGACTCGGAGGGAGGCTTCACACGTGACTGTGAACTGGACAGTTCAGGTGGGAGTAGGGAGCTCAGCCAAGAGCAGACCTTCCTCCCGCTGGTGCCCGAATATTGACCGCAGTGTAGGCGCTCTGCTTGTTCAGTAAAAAGCTCTTCTTGCCCTCGCACATGTGCTACTTTGGCCACAAGGTCCCGTCCTTCCTTTTCAATAATGCATGACTTTGTTCTGCATGGGCTGGTCATACTTTTCTCTCAGCAGGGAGAAACAGCAACTCTAATTCGGGCTTTCTAAAGTGTTTCATGAGTTGCATGTTTAGCCTTTGAACTTGGCCTCTTATGAAGACTCCCTCGTTCATTTACATCGTGAGGGACATGATCCTGCTGCCACAGCCTTGAGAGTGAGTGTCTTGTGTCCTGCAAGTGGAACAGCCTCCATTGCTCTTCAGTCTGAGATGCCGCCCTCAGGCACCAAGCCTATACCCTGTGGTTTTGTTGATAATCTGCCATGAAAGAGTTTTGACACCTTTGTCAGTTGTCTGGGCAAGCTTTTCCTCTGTCATTGAAATCATAGGATCTTAAAATTTGTAAGCATTTATTGTTTTTTTTTGTTTTTTTGCTTTTTATTATTTTTTTAAATTTCTTTATTGATTAAGGTATTACATATGTGTCCTAATCCCCCCATTACCCCTCTGTTGTCTGTGTCCATTGGTTGGGCTTATGTGCATGCATACAAGTCCTTCGGTTGATCTCTCTCCCTTACCCCCACCCTCCCCTATCTTCCCTCTGAGGTTTGACAGTCTGATCGATGCTTCTCTGTCCCTGGATCTGTTATTGTTCATCAGTTTGTGTTGTTCATTATATTCCATAGCATTTATTGTTAATTTTTGGAGTTATTTCTAATTTTTTAATTAACCTTGAACAAAATTAACGTACATATATCTCTTCTTTCCCCAGGGGCAGCCGCCTCACAGATGTAAGTATTTAATGCTGATCCCTGATCCCAGAGTTGTAGCCTCTTCCACAAGGGAACTGTTAAGCTGCAGACCTGCACCATTCAGTTCAGGCCGTCGTCGGGTGCTTTGTTCATTTAGCAGTTGTTGTAAGGCAGAACCACTAGTAAAAATAACATCCTCTAGCACCCGAGTTTGTTTTAAATTCCTGTAAACATTTGCTTTAGACACGTCCTTGAGGGTCTCACAGAAGAGGGAGCAGATCCCAGTGCAGTCTGCTCTGACCTAGGGTGGAGTCCGGGGCCTGGGGGCCTCTGTGGGCTCCTGGACTTCATGTCACCGAGGAGGAGGTTCCTCACTTCAGCTTTTGCTTTTGGTCACGTCCAGCTTCACGCTCCCCCACCAATGGCAGGAAGAGATGGGGCGGGGGTGGGGGGCAGTACCCAGAACTAAGTGAGCTGTGAATAGATTTTTTCTTTTCTTTCTCACCCCAGAATGAATGCCCTCAACTTGTGCAGAGCCTGAGTGCCAGTCATTCAGTTCTTATCTGCTTTTGTAACTTGAACTGTGCCTTTCCTTAAAAACAAAGTTTGAATGTTGCTGAGTCACTGGACTGTCCAGAAAAGCTGATTCCACCTCAGGCAGTAGCGGAAGAGCTGCATATTTAGTAGAAAGCACACACACACACACACACACACACACACACGAAACCCATCACCATTGCAGCAGTAGACAAATCCGTTGCACTACGAAGCATCCTGACCAGACCGTGAACTTGCTGTGGTCAGGGACCATCTGGCTTCATGCCCAGTGAATGGCAGACACTTAGACACTTGGCGGCTGCACCACTCAACAACCTGACAGGTTAGGGAGCTTGACGGACCCGCCTGAGCCTCTTGCTGCCCTTTCCCACTGAATCAACAGTGTTAACACCATCGAGATCCCGTTTTCAATTCTGTCTCCCTCTTGGCCCAGCTGTGTTGGTGAGAAGGGGTGTCAGTGCTGTCCCTATAGGTCAGGGACAGCAAGAAGGAAGGTTCTCTGTCCAGCTCCCTGAGGTCCTTGGAGGGCTTCTGAAGCTAGGACCGCTCTGTCTTGGCTTCTGGCAGTGTTTGATGGCAAGGCTGTTTGAAAGCTTGAGAGAGAGCACATGCTTCTCCTCCAGGCTGAGGGACTATCTAGGCTGCAGGGTGGGGGGCATGCAGAGCCCACGTGCGCTTGCATAGATAGTGCCAGGTGAGGGGGAGGCCACGCTACGTAGGCCCTGGAGGTGGAGTTGACTGTGGCTCCAATCTGTTGGGCTGCTAGATGTGATGTCACAAGGCCAGGGCCAGCAGCGTTTGCAAGCGCTTTCTCTTCCTCCCTAGATCTCCATATGCCGGGAGATGCCCAGCCTGGAAGTGATCACCCTCAGGTACCTGAATGCCTGCTGTCACTGTGTCACTGGGGCTCGAAAGAGGAGGGGAACCTAGATGACCCGGAAACCCCAGGAAAATATGGGAGGGCCGCTGGCTCCTTGGCTCCGCCCGAGCTCCACCCTCCTTTCTGCCCCCCGCCCCCTTGCGTCCCTGCCCACCCTCTCTGCAGGTCAGTGGGTACAGCCCCCCAGGGATGAGCAGCCACCCTCACGGTGGCCACATCTGCCCCCAACAGCCCCAGCGCCCCAGCCTTTTCTGACCCGGTTCTATCACTGCTGGGAACTCTGCCAGTTTCTCTATCACATGCTCTGTCATCGATGACTTACCTCTTTTTGCATCATTGGCATTTTAACAGACTAAGGAAACCCTGAGTGAACCAGATTCTGTCCTTGGGGTTCCAGGCAGCTGGGGAGCTTGGAGGATGTGCCCCCCTACCCACTCTGGGCCCAGGGCTGCAGCTGATGCTGGGGATCCCTGCTGCTCGATGCTGGAGAGCTTTCTGCAGGTCCCCCTGTGTAAACCTGACAGGGAAGACAGACTCTCCCTGTATGGCAGTTCCAAAGGTTCTGGAACTATAGGCCCTGGGGTCCCGTGCAGGCTCCTGTGACTTCACTTCCTGATCACAGGGCTGGCCACCCTATTTGTCCCTCCCTCACCCTCTGCTCATCCTTTGGGCCTTCCTCGGTCACCTGGTGGATGCCTGTGCTGCCCACATGTGCTCACGGCACCCATTCCTGGCCCAAGCCCCTTGGTGGGTGCCTTCTCGAGGGATGAATGAGCGAAGAATGGGCTACAGCTGTGCCCAGGCTCAGTCCGCTCTCCCACCTGGGCAAGGTTCAGACCCCTGTGCCTCGGTTTCCCTCTCTGTAATACAAGATAATATCAGACAGAGGCTCACGGTGCTGTCTCTGTAGCGTCAACAGCGTGTCGACCCTGGAGCCCGTGAGCCGGTGCCAGCAGCTGAGCGAGCTCTACCTGCGGAGGAACCGCATTGCCAGCCTGAGCGAGCTCTCCCACCTGAAGGGCCTGCCGCGCCTGCGGGTGCTGTGGCTGGCCGAGAACCCGTGCTGCGGCGCCGACCCCCACCTCTACCGCATGACCGTCCTGCGCAACCTGCCCAACCTGCAGAAGCTGGACAACCAGAGTAGGTGTCCCCGCCGAGCGCGCCCCAGCGCGGCCTCCCTCCTCTGCCCTTTCTGCCAAACCCTGACCCCTCCGGACCTCCCAGACACCTCCTCCTCTAGAGTCTCCCAGAAGGACCCCCGGGCTTGTCCCTGTGATCCATTACGGGGGTGCAGCCCCACGTGCAGAGTGCAGGATCTCCGGTGAACCTCACACAACTTGTCTGCCCCACTGCCGACACGCACTGGGCTGCCACACACTCACCCACGTGCCCTGGATACATGTGAGGCCTGGGTGGGCCGAATGGGGTCACTGCTGGCCCACGGGACCCACGGTGGTAATGCCTCTGTGCTCCCCGCTTTGGCTTACCTGGTGTTGGCCTCTACCTGTTGGGGGTGTGGCGTTTCACCTGCATCTCCATGGCCCGCAGGCAAGCCTCTGCCCTGTGCCAAGGGCGCCTTGTTCTCTGCCTCCGGTTCCGCCCGTTCCCAGGGCTGGACCCTTTCTGGGTTGTCCGCCTACTCTGTGTGCTGGCTCCTCATCCTTGTCTTATGTGCAGTTATTTTCTCCCAGATGAACAATTTTAATATAAATAAACTCCAGGGCAATTAAGTCAAATGGAATAAATGCAGTGAATGCTGTTTCTTTTTAAATTTTAATTTGAGGTTTCTTAATGAGTATTTGCTTTTGGGAAGTGCTGAAAGTCAGGTTCAAAAGCAGTCATTGGCCACCTGCCATGTGTCCAGCTCATGTGTGGGCTGGGCATGGCTGTTGGGGTGGACAGACAGACACCTCTTCTCTAAGGCAGACTGCATGCGTGCCACGGCGTGGGGCCTGCATGCAGGCGGCCGCTCTGATGCTTTCCCCCTCCTTCCCCTCGAAGCTGTGACTGAGGAGGAGCTGTCCCGGGCGTTGATGGAGGGAGAGGAGGTCACGGCCCCCAGCAGAGAGGGCATGGGGAACGGCAGGCCCGAGCTGTCCTACGCCCTGAGTGCCATGAACGCCGCTGCCGAGACCCGAGGGGACGCGCTGAGCTACGGCGAGGAGGAGGCGAGGTGCGCAGGGGTCTGTCGGGGTTCCCCCTCTTGAGAGCCAGCAGCCATGTCTCCCTTCTCTGGGGAGGGAGGGAGCGAAGTGCCCTGGGTGGTCCTTTCTCACCTGCCCTCGTGGCCGGAGAACGCTCCAGGCACAGCGAGTGCACGTGTGGAACCAGCCCTTCACGGGTGGCCTGGAGGTGGGGCTCGGTGAAGGGGATCAGTGGGCACCTGGGGGCCAGCTGGTAGAGGGAGTACCAGCTGGAGGAGCCTCCAGGGCAGCGGAGGGGCCTCTGAGGACAGTTGTCTGATTGTCATGGACGTTGTAGAGACGGTGGTTTCCAGCGGGGCTGCCAGGCTCCGTGCACAGCAGGCGAAGCGCTGTCTCTCGCATCATTTGTGTTTAGTCCCTCCACCCTTGACCTGGGGCAGGCACCCCAGGGCCCCAGGGAATCCGAGAGAAATGGGTGCTGGAGCACCTTCCCCCCCTCCAGTCGGGTGCTGCTGTCCCTCCAGAAGTGATGGCACGTGGTGGGCGTGTGGCTTTGTACTGGCGGATGGGAGAGCCACTGTTAGGCGTCTCTTCCTCACTATGCTCTGGGCTCTGGGCTCTGGGCACTGACTCTGCAGAAACGGTCCCTGAGCTGCTTAGCCCTCACGCACTGTCGTCACCCCCCACCAGCACACAGGGACAGCTCGGCCTGAAGCCCCCTGCCCGGGACCGGTTTCCTTCCTTCCCACAGAGGGAGGCTGTGAGCAGCCGCAAGAACAGGGTAAGTGTGATGGGGTGGCCGCTGGCTGCCTCTGCCCAGGGTGTGGGAATTGTGGTGGGAGTGGGGCGGGGGCTGGAGACACCCAGGGACGAACAAAGCCAGGCTCAGGTGCGGGTCTCGGGAGGTGGGGGCTCCACAGAGTGCCCTTGTATCCTCTGAGCGTACAGTCTCACAGCGCGGTTTGCTGAGCCACGGCCATTCCTGTGGGCATCTCACAGGAGGAATCAGCTCACCTAGTCACTCGTGTGCAAAATACCCCCCAGTTTTCATAGCAGACATGGCAACGTTTCCCTGCTTGAATGCAGGTAGAAACCGAGTACAGATACATTGACACACACATGCATCACACATGTCTGAGCACGTGTTACTGAGTCGCCCTTGGCCGCTTCTGATTCCTGCTCGACCACCAACCAGCTGTGTGACTGAGGGCCAGTGACTCAGCCACTCTGGGCTTCCAGGCTGTGAGCATGAGAGGAGATGGCGTGCAGGGAGGCCCCAAGGCAGTGAGTGCCACCCCAGAACTGCAGCTGGCACCTTAGGCTGTACAAGTCTCCACCTTCCCATGTGTCGGCGGGTTGCATGGAAGGCCGACCCCCATGACGTGGCGTGCTGCTGGCCAGGGCTCTGGGCACGTATGGTGTGGGCAGCCTGGCCTTGCCGGGGGTGGCCCTCAGCCAGTAACTCTCTGTCCCCAGAACAACGTCCTGACTGCCATCCTCCTGCTGCTTCGGGACTTGGACACTGAGGGGCTGGAGGCCGTGCACCAGACCGTGGTCAGCAGGCTGCAGGCTCTGCACAGACAGGAGCTGCAGGAGGACATGGAGTGACCCAGCAGGGACCTGCCCTGTGGGACCTTCTGCTGAAGTCCCAGCATCTTCCCGAGCACCCAGGAGGTGAGGCCGCTTGCCACAGTCACGGCCACTGCGGGACCCTAGGCCGAGTCCCAGCACCTGGGGCTCGGTCCGCAGGAAGCCTCAGCCCGCCCTGGAAGGCTGAGCTCTCACTTCGGTGGCACCTGGAGAGGGCAAGAGGGTGTCAGGCGCTGGCTGGGCAGACCCCGCTCCCTCGCCCTCCTGTGGGGGACGCCCTTCTCCCTAATAAACATTTTCCGAAGCCCGGCCTGGAAGCAGGTTTCCTAAACGATAGGCATGGCCTTGGCATTCACGCATTTCCCGCAGGCCGTCTCTGACTCGGTCATGGGGTTCAGGAGCCTTCCAGAATTACGGCCTCCCTGCAGACAGACGCCCTCCTCAGATTCACATCAGCAGAGGGTGCTTGCAGACTGTGTGACAGGCCTGGAGGGACAGGTCTGCCGCGTCTGCTTGGGCATCCAGGTGCGGCCACAGGTGGAGCCGCTGGGCGGGGTAGGGCGGCCTCTGGGAACGGCATCTAACACGTGTTCTTCCTCTGGGAAGAGCGCAGGCCTTTCCGTGATGCCGCAGCCCCGGGGGCCTTCCTAGTGCCTCCAAAAGCTGGGGAAGCCCCTCCGTGGAAGGGGAGCAGGATGACCCCAGCGCCCCCCATGCCCCAGGCATTAGAGACAAGTCCGTTCTCGCTGCTGTTGAAACGACTGGAGAGGGAGACAGGCTCTTCCCTCTGCTCTTCCTCCCTTTGGGGTGGGGCTGTCCACATCCCTGAGAGCTGAGCTGCCAGCTGTGTGAGAGCCACACAAACCAGAGGCAGGAGCCACGTGACAGCCGCAACGGGCCAGCGTCTGGAAGACCCCGGCTTTCCTTGCTGAGGCTGCACCGTGGGGCCAGCTCTTTGCAAGCCGCCGAAGACCTCCAAACTTGGACTGGGGAGACCAAGCAGAGGCGGGGCCTCCTCTGTGGCGGGACAAGGGCTGAGCTCTGAGCAGTGGGAGGCAAGGGGTCCGTGCGCGGGGTCATCTGGGAAGGTGGCACAGGCCCGTACGTGTGCCTTCTCGTCATTGTGGGCTGTGGCTCCCAATAAACCTGTGCCTTGGCTGGAACAGGCTGGGTGTGGTTCTGTTGATTATGGACACCCTCTGTCCCCTGCTCACACCAGCATCCCTCACACCCTGGTGCCTCTCACTCGGGGACCCTGGAATCGGACTTGGGATGAGCTGCCCGCCTCAGCCCTCAGCCCCTCGCTCTTCACCGCCCCCCCGCCCCCCCCCCCCCCCCCGGTCCACGCCAAAACAGAGGGTGCCAGCTCACTGCCTCACTCCTGCAAACCGGCCACTCGGGGGGCCTCGGAGCTCTCGTGCTGGACCCGGGGCAGCACGTTTACCCACGGCCTCTGGTCTTCAACAGGGCGCCTGGCCGCCCCCACCCTGAACTCCCGCACCCTGAAAGCAGGGATTTCGAGCCCAGCAGGCTTGGCATACACCCCGTGTCCTGTTAGCCCCCGTTAACGTGGGACAGGAGACCCAGGAGGCTCGTCACTTGTCTGCCGGGCACAGCCCACACTCACGGCAGGCGGAGCAGAACGAGGCCCAGCTCCAGAAATGAGCGCCCAGGAGGTGAGGATGGTGTGGCCCCGGCACAGGGCCAGTCCCCCAGGCCCGCTGTCCCCCTGGAGTGACCGAGGCTCCTCACAGGCCTGTCAGTACATGAAGGCAGCCGGAGGGATGAAGGGCCCAACCTGGTCCCTAGAGCAGTGATGGCGAACCTATGACACGCGTGTCAGAGGTGACACGCGAACTCATTTTTTTGGTTGATTTTTTTTTGTTAAATGGCATTTAAATATATAAAGTAAATATCAAAAATATAAGTCTTTGTTTTACTATGGTTGCAAATATCAAAAAATTTCTATATGTGACACGGCACCAGAGTTAAGTTAGGGTTTTTCAAAATGCTGACACGTCGAGCTCAAAAGGTTCGCCATCGCTGTCCTAGAGCCACCGAGCCAGGCCCAACCAGGAGACCTCTGCCCAGGACCCCCCCACATGGCCTGTGGGCCCCCAAGGCCAGGGCCTCCCCACCAAACCTCACAGGTCCCAGCCCCTCATCCTGAGCCTCTGCGGGCACTGAGGGCAGGAGCGCAGGCCGGAGCATCCCTGGACGAGGTGCCCCGGTAGCCACTGTGGGGAAAGCCCTGGACAGTGCAGTGAGCTCAGGAGATAGGTCCCGCCAGAGCGTTACCTCGGTGTCCCCCCGAGGTACACCGTCAGCTCATCCCCCCGGAGCCAGCACCACGCTGCGGATCGAGGCTCTCGCTGCCCCGAACTGATGGATCAGCCTACCGCCCGTGGCGGCGGTGATGAAGTTTCTGGCTGTTTCCCCCTCCCATTGGCCACCCCCACCAAGGTCTCCCAGCAACCTCACTCATATCAGCCCCTGCCCTGGCCGGGACCCCTGGCTCTGCTTCAGAGACCCCAGTCCAGGCTAAGTCTGGGGGACCGTTCAAGGTCAGACTTGGGAGCCCAGGAACCAGGCTCAGAAGTCCTCATCCTGGGGGAGGCCAGGCATGTCACCTTTCATGACAGGGCTGGGGGCACACAGGTCACCCCTCGGAACAAGGCTGAGGGGTCTCAGGTCACCCCTTAGGACAGAGATGAGGGGCTCAGGACAGGGCCAGTGGAGGCTCAGGTCACCCCATTGGCAGAGGGGCCTGCTGGTCTGGGAAGCGAGTGTGGATCTGGGAAGAGGGTGCATGTCTCCAAGACCAGACTGGCCCTGGAGCCACAGGACAGCCCCGAGCCAACCCCTTGCCGACCACCAGCAGGCCCGACCTCCCTCCAGTCCCACGGGCCCTGCTCTGCAGAGACTGAGCGTCCACTGTTGGGTGAGTTTATTCCTACAAAAGACGGCAGGCTCTGCTCAGCCAGTGTCCAGTGCACAGGAGCAGGGTCACAGCAAGGCCCTGGGGACAGACCCCCCTTGGCACACAGACGGCGCTGGACCCCAAGGGCCGGTGAGGGCGAAGGGCCACCGTGAGGGGAGACTCAGGACCATGCAGGGGTCCAAGGAGGAAGGACAGTGCTGTCCAAGCTAGGACGTCCCGTGTCCCCCTGGAATGGAAGGTGGTACCCGGGTGCTCTGTCCCGGAGGATGGGGCCATGATTCCCCAGGGCAAGGCTGAGAGGCCACAGCTGTCCACTTGCCTGCCTGCCCGCAGGCGCAGGGGCAGCAGCCTGGCGGGGAGGGCCCGGGCATCGGGAGGGCAGGGCGGCCTCAGAAGCCCTTGTCGATGCTCAGGGTGCGCCGGGTGACGTGCTCCAGCTCCCCAGACACGTAGTCGGCCATGCTGATGCGGTAGTGTGCCAGCATCTTCAGCATCAGCCGCAGGTTCAGCCACCACTGCTCCCGGGGCATGCGGTGCCTGGGGCCGGGTGGGACCGGGGTCAGGGCACCTCCTTGGCCAGAGCCCGACCCGGGACCGCACCCCCTACTCTGAACCCTGGACCCTGCCCACTCCCCAACATGAGTGGCCCCTGGCAGTGGTGGCCCTCCGGGGCCTGCACCAGGACGGGCTCAGCACCAGGGGCAGAGTGGGAAGCCTGTGCATTCGGACCTGACAGCCGGGCTGGCCCACCCCAACCCTCCCCTGTCCCAGCACACCAGCCTGGGGAAGTCAGGGCCCTGGGGTCCCCCCTCACTTCAGAGGGACTCACTCAAAGTCAGTGTCCTTCTTGAGCTCAGTGACAGGGCTGAAGGCCACCGCCTTCTTCTTAAGGCCAATCACGCAGGCCGAGTCGGGGGCATTGGCGAACACCCGCCCTGTGGACACAGGCATGTGTTGCAGCCACCCCCAGGGCCTGGCGGAGGCACTGTCCGCCGAGCCGCCACCCCACGTACCGTTGCGGTAGACGGCCCGAAGCTTCTCCGACATCCAGAGCATGGCCTTCACCCCCAGCTTGGTCCCGTAGTTCCGGTCGAATGGGGTTGGAGCCCCGCCCTGTAGACACAGTGGGTGAGACTACCGGCCAGCAGGGACGAGAGCCAGCCGAGGCAGGCCTAGTCCCCACAAGTCCCAAAACTGGCCCCGCTGTGACCTCAGGTGAGCTCTCACACAATACCCTCTGCCTGCAGCACCCCTGGTCCCTCTTCCACCTCAAATCTGGCCTAAAAGCCACTTCGAGAGGCCAAGGCAGTGGGCTAACTAGTCACCAGGTGGGATGATTCTGTGGGACTATGCATGCGGCAGCAGATAGGTCCCCGTGAGCAAGGAAACCCCAGGAGAGAGCAGCCTCGGGGTGCACACAGCCCTCGCATCGGGCTGGGAAACCCCACAGCTCCAGCTCCTTGCAGGGCCGCTAGGAGGCTAATGCAGGGAGGGGACATGGCATGGAGATGACCACAGGAGCCCTGGCCCTTCCTAGCTAGTGGGGAGGCCTCAGCAGACAGGAGCATGGTCTCCCATCTGAGTGATGGGATGATGAGGCCAATGACCTCACCCAGGCGCCCCACAAAGATGTGCACAGAGGAGGGCCGCATCCTGCTGTGTCCTGACCCCTCGCCCAGGTACAGAGGGAGGCAGGGGCCAGGGGCCGCGCTCCCCACGCCGTACCTGCTGCAGGTGGCCCAGGACATTGGTCCTGCAGTCGAAGACGCCCTTCCCCTCGGAGGAGTAGAGGTTGTACAGGAACTCCGTGGTGTAGTGATCGTGGCACTTCTCGTTTCTGGGGAGAGGAAGAGGGGGCTGAGTGAAGTGGGGGCCGGCTCAGGTCTCGCTCACTGCTGAGCCTGCTGGGCCAGGCCACGGACCTCTGGGAACGCTGACCCCACCCACCCCTCTCCAAGGCCACCTCCATCTTGTTGACCCCACAGCCAGGGTCTGGAAGCACCTGCCGAGGCTTGGGCCGACCCTCCCCCTGCTGGGGCCCAGGCCCACCCGCGGCCTCACCGCAGCACCAGGCCCCTCTGGATCTCCGTCTTCATCTTCTCCGTCATGTGCTCCACATTGGCCTGCAGGCGTGAGTGACACGGTGAGCCGGGGCCGGGGCAGCAGCCAGCACTGCCCCCGCTGCAGCCAGAAGGCAGGCTGTCTGGGCAGGAATATTCCAGACTGACTGACAGCTGGAGCCAACGTGACCCAGGGGTGATGGGGGGACCCGGGGGCCTGCAGGTGGCAGAGGGCACTGAGAGGTATCGGTTGGGCCATGAGGCCACGGGAGCCACAACATGGACACAGAGTGGGAGACTGCAGGAGGAAAGGGGTGCAGGGTCACAGGCCAGGCCCCCTCACAGGCAGTGAGCCCCGCCTGCTGAGCCGTGGCTCCTTGGCCGGGCCCAGCCTCTGCACCAGGAGGGGACCTGCTCAGCAGCACGGAGGGAGGAGGCTGAGGCTCAGCTCACCTTTAAGTCTTGGATGTTAAAAGGGTCCTCAAAGATGTAGGCGGCGTCAGCCCCCACGGCGATGCCGGTCACGGTGGCCAGGTAGCCACAGTAGCCGCCCATAGTCTCCACGATGAACACCCGGCGCTTGGTCCCCGAGGCCGACTGCTTGATTCGGTCACAGCTCTGGGGGGGCAGGGGGGGGGGCACCAGGGGTGGTCAGGGTCCTCCCCAGTGGGCAGCCGGGACCCGCTACACTGCGGAGACCAGGTCTCTCCCCAAAGCTGACTGAGGGTCACAGGAGGCCAGGGCAGTCCCACGCCCCACGTGCCCCGGGAACGACAGGAGCGCCACTGGCTTCTACTAGGTAAGGCCAGGGACATCGCTAAGATCCCTGACCTGTAAGCGGGGTCACTCCTGCCAGTGTAGGTCACTGTGAACGTGTGGCCTTGGATGCCAAGGATAATGTGACATAATAACCCTAACTCGGAACACTTCAGCGTGTGAAAGAGAATTGTAACATTGAATAGAGAATCGAGCAAAAGGAAATAAAATACCTAGGTTACTGGGGTCTGGACCAGGAGGCCCTCCCTACCTCCATGGCGGCGTTGACGGCGGTGTCGGAGCCCAGGCTAAAGTCTGTGCCCGGCACGTTGTTGCTGATGGTGGCTGGGATGACGCACATGACGATGCACAGCTCCTCATAGGAGCCGCGGGCCTCCACCAGCTG